CAATTTAAAAGTTATAGCATGAAAACTATAACAAGCACAAACTGGTTACGAAGTCAGTCCCAAGGAACCGAGCCTGGGTTAAAAGGGTTAAACATTTTTGGAAATATTGCCTTGAAATTTTCTTACGTCAAATTTACAAAATTTGTTGAAAAGTTTATACGTGGTAATACACTAAGCTAATCATTCTTCTTCACATAAATCTTAATCATGCTTGAATTGTCACTACCATACGATTTGTTTCTTCAAACCTTTGCTTCTTCCTCTTCTGATTCACACAACATGTCATCATCCATTGCATGGGTTATGCAACAGTTTTTGAAAACTTTTAATGAGGCCTCAATGCAGTGGTAGCTTCTACTAAGATATCTTACAAAATTGAACATGCACGAATATAATGCGAGGTCAGTTTTTTGGGAAGTATTTGAAGGGAAAAGGAGTGCAAATTATATTTGGGCAAATACGATAAACTCTTAAATAATTGCAAAAGACTAGTACTTTTTTTGAATTGATTATATAGTTATACACTTTTAATACATTAATATTATCAACAAAAGATAATAAACACCAATTTTAAGCCTGCAACTGATCTCTATATCAGCCATCAATACCAGTTTGATCTAAATAATTCCCCAATGTAGCAATATATGAAGTAAGAGCTGAAGAGCTTGGGAATTTACAAACTCCTAAAGTAAAAAAAGGAAATATTTAGAAAAAGTTATTTACATCAAGAACCAAAATTTGATTATAATATTCCAAATAAAATAAGATCACTATTTTGGGAAAATTATATGTATGAAATCAACATTAAAGAATGAATAACTAATAATTGATGAACCTGAAAGTGTATTTATAGTATAAACATGAATATGTAACATTACAAATATTTAAAATATTAATTATATTGTTAATATACATTTAGAATCTTTTATATCCAATATGGTTTTTTATGTATAATTATTAATGTATTTATAATAATTAGCTTCACTTCATAAATCAAACTTGAGTAAATCTCTGTGAATCATAATGTCTATTGTAAATTTTTTCTTCAATTTTCAGTAAAGTTTTTAAATTAAAAATTCTTTACTATGTTGATTTTTTTGTCTGATATAATTTCATGTTCTGATCAGAGTTATGTTCTGTAAACAGGTTCATTATGAAACTTGCTCGTATGAATAGTAGAAGTGAAAATATCACAGATTGCTTAAACATACGGCTATTTTCTCGGGAAATTTTTGAAACATTTAGGATGAATCAATTACTGTATCCACAGTTTGTTTTTCTTTATTAGGCCTTACGAAGACTATATTGCAGTTGCAAACTATTTATACTTAATTAAGAGTATATATTTTTTAATATTATTCTCCATGATATAATGTACAATGTGGAAGAGTATGTATAAACTATGTTTTTATTTTGTTACCTTAATAAAATGAATAATTCTCACAAATTTTTATATTATATAAATGTAATTGATTTTTTTTATTGTTTACTGAAAACTAATTAGTACATTTACATTTTTAACTATTCACAATCAAGGGCTAGCATGACTGTGTTGTTAAAGAATACTGCTCTTCACAAGTGTTTCCTCCTTTATCAGAGTTGCAGGTTCATGATGTGCCAGTACGAGACACAATGCAGAAAAAGTAAATTACAGTGAAAGATCATGTAAAAAAACAGTAATTTTACACCGTATTCAACATTAAAAAATACGGTTATGCCATTATAAATTAGAAATGTAATGCAGTTTAAAAAAATAAAACTATTAACCCTAAAGTAACCCAAAACTTGGCAATGGGTGCTACCAGCTAGGTAGCCTTCCTTCCAGCTGGTGATTCAAAATTAGGGATAGTGCCAGGTAGCTTTGGTAACTTTATCATAACTCATAAACAAGAAATATAATGATCATGTGGCTGAAAATGTGAGCACGTTTCATAGTTACAGGAATCAAACTGAAGATGCTTAAATCACGAGGCAACTACCCTGATCACCAGACTCAAAGCTGAACAAACGTGAATTAATAAAATAGAATAATACATTATAATGACAATATTTTTACTTTTTGGATAGTTTGAATAATTGAAAACAGTAATAATCGGAAACACTAATTTTGATTAATTTATTGTTTTTTTTACATGACACTAATTGATGCTCATAGGTAATCAAGTTAATTGCCCTGCTCTATAATAATAACTTTTTTCTTTTAACATTTTGACACTTAACAGCATTCAGTTTATTGTGTTACCTTCCAGTTTTAAGCAGTATTGTGTAATTAAAACTTGATAATGAGGAACCCACTTTTTAGAAAATAAAACGTTGTAACTTTATAATAAAGTTTTTTCGTTATACAATCAAGCCATCTCAAAACTTTTAGTATTAAGTAATGTATTTCAATTAATTTAACTGCTTGTTTTGAGTTCAGATACTTTTTTTTTGTATTGCTAAATAACTCCTTGGGAAAAGAATACTAGATGTGAGTCTTCAAGTTTAGCTTTGTCTTGATTTTATGTGTTATAGATATTTCGCACTGTTTCTTTAACTTCTCTCTAATGTAGACATACCAGTGTTTTCAATTTTGAGAGTAGTTTTCAAATATAACAAAAATTCTTGGAAGTTGATTGTGAATTATACCTTTATCATCTTTATTTTAGGATATATTTATTTGAAAGACATTTCATGTTTTTTTTTTGTACATTTTAATATAGCAGGTGCTGAAGATTTCCATGAGAATGTTTGGGGGAGTGACTCTGGCTTTCATGATCTCACTCCCCCTATAAATGACGATTACCAGGAACACAGCCCACTTGGATATTTCATGAATCAGGAAAATCTTAGACATTTAAATGGTAATATTGATGCTCTTGATATTTTCTTGTAATGCTGATGTAAAATTTATGTATTTGTTGTTGATTGTGAATAACTCTATGTGTATGGACTTGGTCATTTTGACCAACCTTGTAACCACCACATAACCATGAAACTGTACATATTATGACCAATGTTCCCTCTCATTTTTTCCAATCCATGTGTGGAATGAATTTTTTTATGTGCACCAGTATCAAGGCAATGTGCATTACCAGTTTTGTGTGTGTGTGGGTGGGGGGGGGAGTATTTTTAGACCATTGACCCTATTGGATCATTAGGCTGCTTTGCACTGCTATCATTTGGTTATTTGGGCTTTAGGCCTATCAACTGCCAGGGTCATAAGGCCATCAACATGTTGAGACTCCTCACCATTACTGAGGATGTGTGTAGCACAGCTTAGAGGAAACACTGATTATAACTGAATTTATTAAGTGTATCTTCTAGTAAACATTACAAGTCTATTGTAAACAATTCAGATTTTTCAGTAAAATTTTTCAATAAAAATTTGTCTGTGAATTTACAAAGTCAGGCTAACTCGCGTTCTGACTAGTCTGAGTGCAAGGTGATTTTCATACTAAGAACAAAATTAATTATTCTTAAAGTTTTCAAGTTTCATTTGCCTAGCTTCTAGAATCTCCTAAATCAATGGCAAAGTGTTTTTAAGAAAAAGTTTGTATTTTATCTGTGATATTCTGGATAAGTATTTTCTGGTAATTTTTGCCGTAGACAGGAAATATTTTTCAAAAATTCCCCACTAAAGTTCCATAGAACATTACAATTCAAAGGAACTGAGTGACTTTGTATAAACAAAAATGTCGTTATGCATCTATACTGTAACAATTTAATGTTTATTTGATTTTATTTAATTTGTTTAAATTTATTTCACTACTGTAGTACAACACAAAGATTGTATGAACAAACTTATCTGGATTATTTTACGTTTGTGTTACTTCTTCATTCACACGGACTTTTTAATTGCAGCAGTAACATTTCACGTGCAGATACTGGTTTGACATTATTTTTATGTAAATATTAGTTATTTATAAAGGTGTAGCAATACGGCGATACGATTTATGTATCTTCACAAAATGTAGCAACAAGTCTTTTGTACAGAAAAAATCAGAATTTCTAATAAAGTATTTTTGCTAAAAATTAATGGTTCAATAAAGAAAGATGAGTATTGAGTACTACATGTTGTCTTCATTTCTTTTATCAAAAACATTACATTTAAGGTGTGAAGTACTTAAATAAGACAATGTCAGTAATATAGATAATAAATTACAGTCAAACTTTGTAACAAACCGTTGGTAAAACTTCTATATCTAGATATGTATCATATTGACTACCATTATGAGATACGCACCACTAGTTATTACTTTACTATAAAAGTGAAATGATCTCTCTCTCGAAATGATCTCTCTCTCTGAAAGCAGCAGTAGCTGGTTTCAGATAGTTGTAGCATAGAGTATGTATGTTCTGAATGAGATTAATAAACCAAGACCGATGTTATATCATTGCCTCATCGTGACTTGTAAGTAACTTTTGTGATAACATCTCTGTAGTTGAACACTATTATTAAAGAGGTTCATTACATCTTAACCAGGTTTATTGTGAATTTTCTGTGCAAAAATATGTAATTCAGTTAAACCATTTGTGTAATGTATTCCTTGTAGTTTCTTTACCCTGTCATATATCAGTTGTTCATTTTTATTTCATAGTTTTCTCATTTGTAAACAACAAAAATGAAAGCGTGATTTCCTTTTACGATTTTTTTAGAAACTTCACTTTTGAAAGGAGAAGACAACCAACAAGATACCCAAACTCTTATTCCCCCATTAGATGGCAGCACTGTGCCTCATGCCCAGCCTTCAAAGCAAGAATGCATGGAGGAAAGTCTAAAACACCATAACATAGATGATGATGATGAAGCGGATGAAGTTGCTTCAACAGTTAGTAACTTATCAGGCTTGTCTGACCTTTCAGGTCTCAGTGGTCAGGAGTGGAAATCGGTTTCAGGTATGAACTTAACTTTGAAACTGGTATTTTATTGTATATGTAGTTATGTGAATTGGATGCATCTAAAGATTACTCTTTCAAAACTGAAAAAGTTATTTAGGTCATATATGTATATATATATATATATATAGTGTTTTGAAACATTTATAGTTATAATTTTTGTATGGTTCCTGTTGGCACTTATTAATTTAGTTACTAACTGTTCTTGATTCTACAATGAAAGGAAGTACTCTGTCGTAATTAAAAGTAAACTTGATAAATCGGATAAACAGAGTAAAATTTATTGAAAGTACAATGTTTCACCAGGTAATATCGTACCTCACTGTTAAATTTAGCCAATCAAAGTTCAATGTACCCTTGTGCTGTATTATTATATATATATATATTTGTACTTTCAATTCATTCATTGTAGTTGACGTACCTGATGATGCCAGGTTAATCTGGTGA